AAATGATAGCAGCCTTCCACCGCCAGCACAGAAATACTACTTGGTGTAAAAACGACGTGTAATGAATTAATACTAAAATAATAATAAAAAAAAAAAGAAGATAACTTCGGATTTTTAAGAACTTTCTGTCAACTATCGTTGCGTGCAAGCCCAATTTCTCTTGTTAAAGTGGATCTTAGACTATACATGTTGGACTTGGCTCTTGGGCCACAGGAGCGTTGGTCCTGGTTTGCACATCCAAACTTCTCTAAAAATAAACATGCGAATTCTAATATTGGTTTGCTCAATCGAGTCGCTATCTTGCGATTGCATATTAAAAAATAAATCTTACATCGAATAAAGATAAACATATATAGACTAACATATAAGAGTCTGAACTACCCATTTTCATAATGTTAACATTTTAAGGTAGAACATCAAATTTTTACCAAACTGTTAACAACTTAGTGTTAAATTAAATGGTTCAAGAGGTTAGAACTTGGAGATACTACCATTATTTCAAAATATAGCTACATGTCTAGTGGTGTCAATCGAGTCGAGCGGATCATCAGCTCGGCTCGTGAAAAAACGAGCCACGAGCCGCTCAAAGATACTACCATTATTTCATCCTTTTCTTGATTTAGTATGGTTGTTACATGCCAAAATGTTTAGTCATTAAGCTTAATAGCCATATAATAACTACATTAAAGGTTCAAGAAAAGATTATTTACAACATTTCTTTTTCATCAAATTGGTAATTATTCGATACTCTTGAAAACTATAAATTTTATGTTAGTATTATTGAACAATACTCCGTCCTTCTAAAAGAAAGACAATTTTAATGCATCAATAGGAGAATTCTAGAAGAATATCATATAATTTAATCACTCGTAGAGGTGTGTTTTATATATGAATTTTATACCATCAAAATGTTTATTCTTGGAGGGACACATAAAAATTTTGGTTTTAGTATTGATATTTTTTTCACCAACATTACAGAAATACTACTTGATCAGACTCGTAAAAACGTTTAATGAATTATTATTAAAATATTAAAAAGAAGAAGATAACTTTTATTAATAATTAATTTTAACCATACATTTCATCAGATTCATAACTAACAACATATTTTATTAATTTTTATTAAATTGTGCTAAATACCTGATTTTTATCTAAATCGAAGTGTATATATGCGTAGGAATGAAAAAAAAAATAGTCAAATAGAGATAATGGTCTAAAGGCTTCTGTGGACACTTGGACTGGATTTTCTGACAGCCCATAACTAATATAAGCCCAGCCCACTATATTGTAGAATTACGAATCTAGGCTTTAGGCCCAACAAAAACCCTATATTGGCCGAATCCGCAGCAGAACAGCGAAACAATCAGAATTCCCCATTTTTCGTCAAGGTAATCTCCATACCATTCCATTTTCTAGGTTTTCTGAACCTGTAAATCTGAAAGAAGTACTTCTATTATCAATTTTTTGTTTGTATATATCCATATGTTATTTTGCGTTATGGCTTCGATTTTTTAACAACGTTAAAATTTCTCTGATAATGTTTTATTAAGAGATTTCGAATTTGATTTGCGTTTTTAATTTATGTTGCAGATCTAAGTACAGCCATGGGTGACGAGGAAAATCAAAACGAAGTTAAGGAGGTTAAGGAGGAGGCAGGAGATGTAAGTTTCTATCATATGTTATAGTGTTATGATGCTGTATCGGTAACCATCTCATTAAAATTGTCTTTCTTTTGATTGTTCACATTAGAAATTGTATAATTGTATATCTTTTACACTGGGCGGGTATTAGTATGACCTCATTTGTAAATTACTGCTGATACTTATCAAGATTTTGTGTTCTTGGTAATGTGGAGGGTTTCAGTATTACATGCAAACAATTGGGGATGGCATGCTTGCTATGTGTATTGATTGTGTATGTTGTTATATATTAATAAAGTGATTAACCTTGTATGTACAGGGACAAAAAGATTTTTCTATGTGCTAGTTGTGTTAGTGCCTGCTTGGGAGTTTTGGGGGCAACCGTTATGAGTGATTTTTAAAGTACCGGATTTGAGTGTTTATGAGTGGATCAGTTTTGAGTGGTTTTAATACTTGTTTTAAAAACAGTCCAATCCATATCCTGGAGTTTATTATTCACTGGTTCTGAATTTTTTTTAAAAGAATAAATTACATATATGTCCCTTATTTATAGTTTCTCTATGAATTTTTTTATTCATACATGATATTTTACTTATAGGTAATTTTTTACATATAAGTTAATAGTTACTTTAAAAAGTTAAATAAAATTAAATATTTACTTAAAATTTTAAGTTAGTATTTTATACTTATAAAAGTAAATTTTACAATTATAAGTTAATTATGTACTTTTAAATAATTTTACACAAATATTTTTTTTTTTACTTATATAAGTAACTTTTTTGTTTCATAAGTGAATTTTTAATCTTGTTAGTAGTATTTTTACTTTATCAACAAATTTTAGGCAAAATTAATTTTCATCTTATAAGTGATATTTTACTCATAAGTAATTTTTTAGTTATAATATAATTATTTTTGAAAATAAATAATTTTTTAGTTAATATATTTTTATTTATGACCTAGATTTGAACAAAATATATTGGTTGGAAATAATTATTTCAAGAAGGGTAAAATTAAAAGTGAATATAAGAAACTGCCAAAAATCGCCAATTTGGTGGGTCGAGAGAACTGCTCAAAATTATACACCGTTTTGGGTGATTTTTAAACCATCCAAAACCGGTGCCCAAAAAAAACTAGCAAGCATAGGTTCTACCAACCCCTCATAAACGGTGCCACTCAAAACCGGTGAAAAAAACTTCCAAGCAGGCCCTTAAGCAGCATCAGAATATGAAAATGGTGTGAATAAAATTATGTAAGTTGAGAAGTGGAAATAATAACATTTCTTTGATTCTTTTGGATCTGAAAGTTTATAAGTGACTGCAATAAAGTGAAGTAATGAGAATTGCTTAGGATTAAAGACGTTTTGGACAGTTTGGTTTGCTTGGTTTCTTGTCAGTTCAGTTTTCTGAAGAAACTGATTTTTCCTAGAAAAGTTCTTGGAAGTAGTTATAAAAAATACACGTCTTTTTATCCCCATGAAATTTGAATATTCCAAAGACTCAGATCAATTGTTTGTTATTTCAGATTGCTCCTTTTGACCCTACAAAGAAGAAGAAAAAGAAGAAGGTTGTGATTCAAGATCCTGCAGAAGATGAGGCTGTTGATAATCTGGCTGAGAAAACTGAGAGCCTGTCTGGTAATTTAATTCAGCAATCTAATTTTCATTATTTCTTGTACATTGCTCCCTTTCTGCAACTTTTTTACTGGGCCACACTTGTGTTATGTTGCTGTGTATGTTTACCGAATTCTGCAGTTTCTGATGGTCCTGAAACGTCATTTGCTGGTCTGAAAAAGAAGAAGAAGAAACCAGTTAGTGGTTTTATCATATTATCAGAGATTCTGATTCTGGTTGAAAAAATTATTTTCAAGAGTAATGATTTGTATTTGACATCATTTGAACTGTTTCAGGTTCATACTGATCTTCTAAGTGATGAGAAAGAGAATTTAGGGGATGATTTGGATGGTGAGATGTTTGCTTACAACTGCTTTTTATTTGAGGCTACATTGTTTTTTGTCTTCTGTTAACTGGGTTGTGAAGCTTCTTTAACAATTAAGTTATGATTTCCCAAATTTTAGATATTGGAGAGGATGAAGAGGGAGAGGGGATTGTTCTTCAACAATATCCATGGGAAGGAAGTGATAGGGATTATGAGTACGAGGAAGTAAGTTTATTTTTCTAGTTTATGTACTCGGGTCAAAGTGCTTTGTGAAATTTTCTGGCTTTGCTTAGTGCAACCATTTTGCTGCAAATGCGTATTGTAACATGATATGCTGGAGCTTAGTTTTCTGTTTGATCTTTTAGTTGAGATTGGCTTTGGAAATCTTTAGGTTTGATGTGTCATTCTTAATTTTACAAGTCGCGTTTTAGAATGATGTTTACTGGGTGAACTTTTTTTTTTTGGGGTTACTTGCACATGCATATGGCTGTGAGTTTCTTTCACGATTTCCGACCTTGTAAGCTGCCGTTGAATTCCAGAATAAAAGCGAAATGGTAGGACGAATATGTAGTATTCAATATTGCTTTCTTGCACTGCTGATTCTTATGTGAGTATGGTGTGTGACATATTGTAATGGAATGCTCTGAGGTTATCACTTTATATGATTTGGGCAAATCGCATTTGAATGGGCTTACCTTCAATATTGCTGTATGGTGGGTGTGGGAAAAATATTACTGTTCAATTGATTGATTGGTTAGGTATGTCAGGTATATTTTACTGGTTTGTGTCTTTTTTATTATTATTATTTAATCAATATAAGTTTATTCTATGGGCTTATCATGATTATGCTCATGGTATTGTGATAAAAGCATGAACCAGAAATATCCTGAGACTTTTATCATGTTACCTGTACCAGTAGGATCTCTCCTGTGGCATTAGAAAGTCATTTATTCTCATTAATTTTATACATTCTTAAGTTGGGTTTTTGTGATCTATAAAACCTATTTATGTTAAAAGTGAACATATTGAATTCATATTTTTGGTACTTCCATGTCATCAGGATATAAAATTTGAGTACTTGAAGATAATGTAATGTATATGAATATAGCAGTTGGACAAAATAGAGAAATTTGTAGGGATTTTAGGTTGTAAAATTATGAGAAAATTAGAGATGGGCTCCCCAACTTTTTATGTGCTGTAATGATAGTCTTCAACCTTTAAAGTGCAGTTCTGAGTCCCCAACCAATTCAAATATGTGAATTTGGTCTCCACTTGATCGAATGGTCAATGTGGACTTTAAAACGAATGGTGATTTTCCCTCCAACTTTAAGTCATGTGCAATCTTATCGTCCACGTTGACGATTTTGCTGAGGACTAATTCACATATTTTTGTTTTTGTGGACGTAGATCCTCATTTTTGAAGGTTGGCTACTCATAACCACACTTTGTGAAAGGTTGGGGAGCGTAGACCTCTTCATAAGATGACTTGACTGTTTCAGAGAGATTCATTTCTATAGAAGAATATATAAAACTAAATGAGATTATGTCTGTGTTTGGTGGGGGGTTAAAATCAGATTTTTAGTGGATTTTGATTAAAGTTGTTGAAATGTGTGATTGACAAGTTGTGGGTCCAATGAAATATGTGGTCAAAATTGATTGTTAACTTTGACTTGGATACACATCAAGATTTTAATCCTCATCAAACCGGGGCTATCTGTCAATAAGTGAAGGTTATTCCAACTGTGGATAATTAAGGATGTCTTATATGGTCGAAGATGCCTTGCGTAAATGTAAAGAGGCTCCCACATAGTATTATTAAGTAATTTCAGCGGCATAGAAGTAAGAATTTGTCCAAAATAACATATCACGCAAGTTCCAAATTCCAATTTACTTATTGACTGAAAGTGGCCTTGAATTCAATAGGATGGTGGAAAATGATTCATGTGGTTGACCCATTTTTTGGGAATAAAACTTAGCATGTTCTTGTTATTCTTTCCTTTAATGAATTTATAACATTTCTTATATTAGGAGCTTAATTGTGTGGAACTTGATCTCTTCTTTCTTTCTATTCTTCATCAATATACACTCCTCAGTACTTTTAATTCATTTTAAATATCCTTGTACAGCTTCTAGGAAGAGTGTTCAACATCCTCCGTGAAAATAATCCTGAGCTTGCTGGAGATCGGCGTAGGACTGTTATGAGGCCGCCTCAAGTTCTTCGTGAAGGCACAAAGAAAACTGTTTTTGTTAATTTCATGGATCTTTGCAAAACGTATGCCATTGCCTCTTCGTTAAATTATTTCAGCTTTGCCAGTTGATAATTTTCTTTTTTGTTCCATTGGAGCCCGATAGATTACTGTATTAAATCTGTGATGCTAAAAGCGGACAAAATTAGATTTAACCCTTTTGAATCCCATTCTTAAAAAATTCATTTTCAACTACACATTATCTCAATAAATAATTTTACATGTAAACCAAAACTTTTCATTTTTAACTGCACATTCTCCAAAAAAATCACTGTTACTAAATCTATTTTCCTAAAAAAGAGGGCTCAAACAAACCCTTAATTCTCCTATTTCATTTTTTGAGTGTGTTGGTTTGTACAAGAATTCGGGGCATAATTTTTGCATGTTTGAAGTTGCATATTGATTTTCTAGATTTCCAAGTCCTTGTTCCTTTTGTACCTGGTGACAGCTGTTTCTCTTTTTTCTATTGTTGAATAAATTATTTTTTGCTGTCTCTGCCTGGTAACGTTTCTAATATTGCTTTATATTTGGCCCTTCTGACACCGAGTATCTTAGATCATAACTTTCTCAGTGTGGTGTTCCTATGTATAGGATGCACAGGCAACCCGAGCATGTTATGACTTTCCTGCTGGCTGAGATGGGAACTAGTGGATCACTTGATGGTCAACAAAGATTGGTAGTCAAAGGGAGATTCGCACCCAAGAACTTTGAGGGAATCCTGCGGCGCTATATCAGTAAATTCTTATTCTTTGCCGTATTCTTGGTGAAGTCAATTAGATTAAATGCAATAAGATACACGTAATTGATAATATGAATATCAAATATATTTTGGAAAGAAGTATGCTTGCTATATTGCTATTATCAGTTTTTATTTCTGTATTCTATTTTGGGGACGTGTCACTAAGTTGGTTGAAGCAGCAGCACTTGCCTTTCGTTTCTAAGGAATTCTTGAACATGATTGTTTGCGAATAATGTCTCCAGATGATTATGTCATTTGCAATGGCTGCAAAAGTCCGGATACTGTCCTTTCAAAGGAAAACCGTCTCTTTTTTCTCAGATGCGAGAAGGTAATGTCTCATCTTCATGTTTGTTTTTGCGCACACTTCATGTTAAATGAGAGGAGAACTCAAATATTGGCTTTGTTACTTCATTTTCTGGAAGACTCTTGAGAAGCCAATAGTGGTTGATTTTTCCTGAGGCCTGTGATGAATGAAATATTTGCCTACATTGTCTGACTGGATATGTTGAAGGAGAATATCGAAATAATCTGATGCCACAGTTAAATTCACAGTGCTTGAGCACTAATTTCTTTTCACCGTTCTTCCCAAACAGGCACTTTTCCTGTATATTTTTCCTGTGATATTAGTTGAACCCGCATCAGTTGTTATCTAGAGAAACAATTCATTGTGTTTCTTGACAAAGGCCTGTGATGATCAATGATTTGCCTACATTGTCTGATTTCATTACTTGAAGAGTTTTAGAATGTTCTGTGGCCACAGGTTAAATGGATAACTCTGGATCTTTATAGAGTCTCTGACAGCCATTGTTGCTTTGATCCTATGATAGGACATAAACTTGCCTTTAAATGTCCAATCCTAGTTGTGTTAAGAATTTGAAATTTTCATGCTTCGTGAGAAGTGCAAATCTTTTTATCATTTAAGGTTGCAATATTTGTTTGCTTTTTTGGGGTCCATAGTCTCATAGTTGTGCATTGTTTTGCCCCAAGGTTTCTTATTGTATTTCGTGTAACTTCTCTTATAGTGCGGTTCTGGGCGATCTGTTGCTCCAATTAAGGCTGGATTTCGTGCTCAAGTTGGTCGTCGTAAAGCTGGAACATGATAACAATCTGCTGTTCTTTGGAACTCTTTGTTTAATACCTGTTAAGTGCCTGATATCTTTTACAGTATCTCTTAAGTAGATCAATTTTACTACTTTTTTCGCATGCTCAAGTATAAGAAGAATATCTGTATCCACTTTTATGAGGATAGTTATGAAGAGTGAGCTTTGTCAAAAAGTTTTGCGCGAGTCAGATGTGCTGTTTTCAATTAGCATATGCATTGTTATTAATTACTGAGAACGTCAAAACTTTTTTATTTCTGAAAATGGCTAAGAGACGACCTTTTGACACCATAAGGAATAAATATGGATCAGTGATGATATTACATTACTGAGAATTTATTCGACGTCATCTCAGCAGAATGTTTTGACAATGTTAAGAATCTATGCTCTCATGCAATATTTGTCTAGAAAAAAACTTGATAATTTGAAACCAGGTTATTCTAATGGTTGCAGATGATGTTTAAGCATAATTTTGGAACATTCTTAAATTAAATCATGATCTTAATCGCGTATATGTGACTAATTTATGTTGTTGAATTGAATAAGTCACTTAGCCTTGGTTTGATGGTCATTTTTTTAGGAGAAACATTGTTTTAAATATTGAATTTTTTCAAGAATATGGTTAAAAAGTTGGGAAAAGTTTTGGGTTATTATGTAGAATATTTTATTGTGTGAATATATAGTTGAAAATAGTGTTCTAAAAAGTGTAATGCGGGGAGGTCAAGTTGCGGGCAAGGTGAGGCTTAACTGGGCTGGACAAAACTGTTCCAAACTGTTCAAACAGACCAACCTAAACCACACCGATTGGTATGGGTTGGTTTTTTAAGTTCAATTGGAATGAGTTTGGTTGGAAAATCAAATTTAATATCTAAAATGACAAAAACCTGTGGAGGCGAGAGAATGATTTAAAATGTATGAACGTTCACCATTTTAACATAAGATGATTGGTATGAATATTATGTATAAATGCCAAGTAATTTGACGATAAACTAAAAATTAAGGATGTGATAATGAAATGAATAAATTTCAAAAAGAAAACGCATTTAAAAATATTTATAAATTTCAAACATATTTATAAATTAATTTTCAGAAAGAATTGTTAAAAATAACAAAACTTTTAAAATTGTTTCAAACTTTTAAAATGGTTTAAATTCAATAAAAAATAACCGAATAAAATTTGAATTAGTCCTAAGCCCAAACCAACCAATCCAACTCAAATCAACCCAAACTTAATTGGGTTGGGTTGGGTTGAATTTAAATTAATAATTGGATTGAGTTAGTTTGATTTTAGATCAAACCAATCATGTCAAATTAAGTTTTGGTTGTATAAAAAATTAACCCAACTCAATCCATGCCCAGTCCTAAGCCTAACCGTGGAAAAAACGTTTTATTTTAATATTATTTTAAATTTTTAATCAATTCAAAAATCATTTAATAATTAGAATAATACCTACCAAACATCTAAAATAAATTTATAGGAATATTATACATTGTTTCAAAGTTTTCAACAAAAGGATAAGTTTTAAAATCATGATTTCACGATGTAGATAGCATGGGAGCTTAAATCTTGTCTATCTTCAATTCAATATCCTCTTTTTTATTTAATAAAAATCATGTTACGTGTATATTATTGTTTACATTATGTCATGTGACAACACACCATTAGATAGTTAAAAAATAGTCTCGCCCGCATTCTTTTGAAAACAAAGGGGGTAAACAATGATGTAATGAAATAAATGAACATTTAGCATTATTGATATAATAATGTGTGCCTTAAGCAGTCGACGATAGCCTAGGCCCTACACCACGCCTAGTGCATTGGTGGTGCTAGGGTGCTGCCTATGCTTGTCAGTTTTAACACTGGTTGAAAATAAGTATGTAAAAAAAAAAAACAATTTTGAAAAAACGAGAGACAACTAAAGAAATAAATTTTAGGTCCAATTGTAGATCGTGAAGGACGTGCAAGGCGAACTAAATGATTTAGGTCACGCACACAATTGGTAAGAATGCTCTAAATGTAATAAGAAAATTAAATTTTGACTGGCTAAAATTTCTTAAAAATCCTACCGTAGGATTTCGAATTTTTCAGTTACCAAAAATTTAAATTAATTTTAATTGTAAAAATTCTATTTATCAAGGATCACTAAATTAGGATATTTGACATTTAATTAGTGGTTTTTCTTGATTAAAATCCTAAGTTTGTTTATTTTAGGAAATTAAACGAAGTATTCTTTTTGTTTTTTTAAATAAATTGAGTGCTTTGTTTATAAAAAATAAATAAAATTATTTCATTGTATCATGTTCTTCCATCGACCTCAGGTTATTTATTTTATTTATTGTTGTAGACTTTCTTCTTAAATGAATATATTGTTCAATTTTTCCAAGTAAGAACAATATTTATTCATTTTTTAAAAACCACACGTAGCCATAAGCTATTGTTAAGAACTTGTTGTTACGGGCCTGTGTCAGACCCGCCACCTCGCCCACCACGTGTTCGTACTCGTGGCCCAAGCCACGCGTCGGACGAGGTGATTGAACAGGGGACGAGCTGATTGTACATGCCGGGGTGAGTGCATGAGGAACGAACTGAACACGCATCAACGAATGAATCAGACTCATCCACAAGTACGCAGTGGATGCAAAGGCCCGCACTCCACTTCTACAATGCTGCAACGCTTCACCCGCCACACCTCGCCTCTACAAAGATCCTTTGTACAAAGATCTTCCCAAAATCAAATCTCTGACTGATGGGACTTGTGGCAAGTCATCAGACGGTCAAATCAGCAGCCTATGTCAGAAACATTCAATACCAGTCGACCTATGGAGGGACAGAGTGACACCTAAGATGGGACGAGCCTTGAGGATCCGACAACACGTATCTCATCATCCAACGACTCTCCTCATTCCATCCTTAGTATAAATATCCACTTCTTGTGCGAAAGAAAGGAATTGGAATCCCATTTGCTCCCCTACATATCGCGAAATCAAGTAGCATCCTCTCCCCTATATTTGTCAATTTTATCGAGACACTTTGTTGATCACTTCCCGGCGAGTGTTCTACCGTCGGTGAATCCCTTACCGGTTGAATATATAACTGACTTGACCGTCGGAGTGCTTGCGGCCGCTCCCACCCCCTCCGGGAAAGGTCACGAGCCACTAACGGCGTACTACATGTGTAGGAGGAGCTGACTTGAAAACCTGCCATGTTGGCCACGTGTTCGAGCCATTTTTCGAGGTCAACAGATTGGCGTCGTCTGTGGCTCATCTGTGTTTTGTATTTGTTGAGGTGTTTCTCTGGGTCGCCCTTCCCCTTATACTTTGGGATTTTAGGAGGGATAAAGTTGTGAGGCATCGGAAATGTGCGAAACTCCCTGGAGAAGGGCAAATTGTCGTCATCGTTATCAAGCTCATACGACCTACAGGGTCCGTCGGAATCATTTTCGTCTGCCTGATGTCGGGGTGGGCGGTGAGCTATTTCAGCCCTGTTTCCCCAATCCACTTGGCTTCGCCTCTCCCGTCTATTTCTAGGCGGAGGGGCTTGGACATCTTGGCTTTGTGCCTGCCCCTGATGGCGAGTTGTTTGCTGCGGAAGCTGGTTCCTATTTCTGGGTACCCGTCCGATTCGATCGAACACTCTGGCAGACCTCTGAGGTCGTTCATACTCCTGAGGAAAACTTTCTCCTGCAGGGGCATCGTCGGCTGGGGCGACAGAGTAATTTGAAGTGTCCATTCCCACATCCCTCTCTACAGGAGCTTCTCCCTGGAGACTCAGGTGGGTTCTCCTACTGGACTCCGCCTCAGTTCGTCTATGGGCCGATTGCTGTGGATGATGTGGGGCTTGAAAACCGCCCTAGTTTTGTACTTGCATGAGAAGTTCCTGCATGGCTGCATTTCAGGCTGCGATGGTCCTCATGTTAGTGGCCATTTGGGCCACTTCGGCGGCCAAACGTGCTGCCGTTCTTCTACCTCTACGGTAGCGGTGATGAGGCCGCTGTTGCGTGACATTGGCTCGAATGACCTCTTCTTTAGAGACATCCCTTGCCCTTGCATTCTCCTCTTCGCCACTGGAACTCATGGTCCGAGGTGGCTGAAAGATTCTTTTTCAAGAATTAATCCCCTTTTCAAGGGAATTTGGGCGTTTCCAGATGTTCTCCCCGGCCCTAATGGCCCTGTTCAACTCGTCGGACGAGATTAATATGGGTTCCCTCATGGATGTACTCTCCTCGCCTCGCTCCTCACTCCCCCTCTCGACAATCTACCGGCTTGACATCTTCAAAAGTTTAAAAAGAAACGAAAAACGGATGAAGCTAAAATGTATTGCCTAACTCAGTGAAGAATGCTTTTAACCGCCGGAATACTTAGGTGCTGCCGGAGATTTGACAGAGATCGCCGTAAAATGTGAGAAATGGAAAATCGCATGGGTGTTCTCTCCAAGTCTCAAGATTTTCGCGAAATGAAGGTTTTGAAATGAGAAGGATGGGCCTTTTATAGGCACTCCAAACTCACCCCAACCGTTAGATTAGCCTAAACACAATCTGGACCATGCAACACTCAGATGCAAGGATCTCCGTTAAAGCCAAGGGTCATTTGAATTAACGGCCTTGATGAAGCGGTAAGTTACAAGCGCAGCTTGAGCACGTCGCCTTGAGGAATGAGAGCCGTCGTCATTATTATCATTTATGTCGAAAGAGGCGTGCCTTGGAAGCAAGCGAATGCCTCCCCATGATTGCCTTGGGAAGATACAAGGGCTTCCAAATCATTAGCACAAGGCTCAAGGTCAACCTTTATCGCTTTGGACACATCAGCTCCGCGTTGCTACAGCTCTTCTTAAGAGTTGCCAACCTTTATCGCTTCGGCCACATCAGCTCCGCGTTGCTACAGCTCTTTTTAAGAGTTGCCAACCTTTATCGCTTTGGCCACATCAGCTCCGTGTTGCTACAGCTCTTCTTAAGAGTTGCCAACCTTTATCGCTTCGGCCACAACAGCTCTGCGTTGCTACAACTCTTCTTAGAATTGCCGACCCTTATTGCTTCGGTCACACAACTTCACACTAATCCTCAGTTCTCACCGCCAACGACTCATCCCCGTACCCCCCAACTCGAAATTAAAAGTCCTTGTACTACATAAATACTCATACACGGACTTGCGGGACTATTTTTACGAGCCTGTGTCAGACCCGCCACCTCGCCCACCACATGTCCGTACCCGTGGCCCAAGCCACGCGTCGGACAAGGTAATTGAACAGGGGACGAGCTGATTGTACATGCCGGGGTGAGTGCATGAGGAACGAACTGAACACGTTTCAGCGAATGAACCAGACTCGCCCACAAGTACGCAGTGGATGCAAAACCGCACTCCACTTCTACAACGCTGCAACGCTTCACCCGCTATACCTCGCCTCTACAAAGATCCTTTGTACAAAGATCTTCCCAAAATCAAATCTCTGACTGATGGGACTTGTGGCAGGTCATCAGACGGTCAAATCAGCAGCCTATGTCAGAAACATTCAATACCAGTCGACCTATGGAGGGACAGAGTGACACCTAGGATGGGACGAGCCTTGAGGATCCGACAACACGTGTCTCCTCATCCAACGACTCTCCTCATTCCATTATTAGTATAAATATCCCCTCCTTATACCAAAGAAAGGAATTGGAATCCCATTTGCTCCCCTACATATCGCGAAATCAAGTAGCATCCTCTTCCCTATATTTGTCAATTTTATCGAGACACTTTGTTGATCACTTCCCGGCGAGTGTTCTAACGCCGGTGAATCCCTTGCCGGTTGAATATATAACTGACTTGACCGTCGGAGTGCTTGCGGCAGCTCCCACCCCCTCTGGGAAAGGTCACGAGCCACTAACGGCGTGCTACGTGTGCAGGAGGAGTTGACTTGAAAACCTGTCCTGTTGGCCACGTGTTCGAGCCATTTTTCGAGGTCAACACTTGTCTAAACCACGCGTGAGATAAAAGAGAAACTCCGGACACAGAAGAAACTGATTTCCGAACTCTCTGTTAAGAAGTTGGATGATGAAAACTCTGAAGTTCTTGCTAAATTAGTAGCACGAGAAGAGGAATTGAGGGCTGCGAAGGAAACTATACTACTCTCTCAAGAAGAAATAAGCCGTCTGACAGTTGAGATTCAAGAGTATAAATCTCTAGAAGAATCATATGATATAAAGCAGAAAGATGCAGAAGTTTTAGAATCCGATGTTGAAGTTGAAAGATATCAGACTAGAGAGCTTCAGAAAAGTGCAGAAGGATCAGAAGCATAAGATATGGACTCGGTGAACAAAATTCAGGCACTCGAGGAAGAATTGAGAATTACACTAACGAAGCTTCGCGAATTGGAAAAGGAAGTTGCCAGTGTAATGCTGGAACATGCAAGGAAAGAATCCCGTATTCAAAATTTGCGAGATCAGCTTAAATCAGCTCAAAAGGAGGTTTCGGTATGGAAAACCAAAGTCGAGAGAGAGAAAAGAGAGGCTTCTAAGCTGCAAGACCGGATTGCTAGGTATAAATCCAATCTTGCTGACCGTGATCAAGAAATCAGAGGATTGAAGGAAGCAGTATCGAACGCTAATAAGAGCTTATCTGAAGAAAACGAGCAACTTCAAGCAGAAATAACTAGAACTGTGAAGGAGTGAACTTATTTAGAGGACAATCTAAAAGAATTAGATTTACGCCGCCAAACCTTAAGAGATTGAAAACAAACTTGGAGCTCAAGTTGAGCAGTTGAAGGCAGAGATAACTGAGAGAAATGATCACATAGAAGAATTAAACAAAAGCTTCGATGCACTGAAACTGAAATACGAGATACTGATGGCTGAAAAAGACAATCTTAATGCTAAGATTGCTGCACTTTCTGCAGAGATAAATTCTAAAGAAGACCGAGTGGATAAAATAAACGTTGAGTTGATCGCTGCACGCGAACTAGCAGAGGATCTTTGTTCACGAGTTAAAGAATTGGAAATAGAGGTGGAGAAAAGGCAAGAAATTATTATGGAAGGGGCGGAAGAGAAACGAGAAGCAATTAGACAGCCTTGCTTCTCACTCGAGCACTACCGGAGTGGGTATCATTAACTTCGCCAGGCTGTTATAGGGCACAAGCGATTACCTGTGATGGTATCCTAAGTTTCTTTGGTTTCAATGCATTCACGTTTGTGAGTCTCCTTTTTTTGCTTCAAGAGCTTGTGTAGAATTCTCTTTCTTCTGATCTTACTGTTTTTTAACTCTGTAAGTGTACAATTGTTATACAGTTACTTAGCTTGGTATAAGTACATAAATGTTACATAGGTAGTACTTGGATATGTATTAGAGTCCATTTGGTCGGACCTCTGCTTCTTGTAGAAATAACTTATTTATTTTAAAAGTAGCTTTTGACTTTAAGCATTGTCAAACAGGCTTTTAGTTGAGATTAATCCGACTTGTCAATTTTCTGCCAAGCCTCGCACGAGTAAATTCGGTTACTATGCTGGAAAAAAAAGAAAAGAAATTGCATTGTTACCAATATATATTGACACGGTGAAATGTCGTTTAGGGGAATGAAATTCTGTATTCCTATAATATGCATATTCTTCTGTTTACGTAGTAAGGAATCTGAAAAATGCAAAAGGCTCAACGTTAGGCTACTGTTTATAATCGATCAAATAAATCACTTCTTATCTACATATTTCATGAAATTTAAAAGTACTACCTAATTATTCAAGACTCATTTTTATTTATATATAAAAATAATCGATAATAAATTAAACAAACCTCCCTTGTTTAACCTGCCTTTTGCATTGAAAGAATCTGAAATCAACCAATAGCAAGTCAAGTCATCGTTCAAGTGAAAGATACGAAAGTTATTGAAATGTATACCGTTCCTACCAAGTCAAGTCATTGTTCAAAGTGAAAGATACGAAAGTTATTGAGAAGTATATTGTTCACCAAAAGATGGTGTCAACCTTGATTGTAGATTTGTGGTGGCTTGTTAAAAGGTCTCGTGTCAACAATTATTCTACTTGTATATATATTTTTTTGTACAGATGGTAAAATTTAATTGGTTGATTTAACTTTATAAATGCAGCCTATACACGTAGCACTTCTCCTATATTAAAGTCCATTTTTATAATGAAGGTTTTCTCCCCAGTGATCGTCGGGTGGGGATAGTAGTGGCGTTTGACTAGCGGTGGATTATGCGAGAACTATGAAAGAAGAGCTTTTTTTCTTTCTTATTTATTTATTTATTTTTGTCATTTATATTTAATTGTGGTCTATTTATGATTTTGAAAAGATTTAGGGCTCTTGTTACAATTTTTCCTTTATTTTTTATTTGGTTGCTTTCTTTTTCGTGTGTTTATTTAAAGACGGGGCAAATTCGTCATTTTTGCTTGGTTTTAATGGACGAAATAGTGAGTTTAGCTATATTTTTGACAGGTGGAAGATCTGAGATGCTAAAGAAAAGGTTGATGGTAAAAGAGCAGTAGTTCGTTAATATTGTAAATGAAAAGTACAAATTTCCTTAAAATAAAATCACTCACCAAACATTCCCTTAGTTTAATTGATCCTTCGTAAAAAACGTGCTTTACAAGAACAATATAAACATGCTATACTTGTTTGGCTAAACTTAAAATAATATTTTTTGTCGTTGTTCAACATGATTAAGGTTTTCTAAAGCTACTTTTTTGTTCAAAATCTCAAAATTTCTACTAAGGAACGTGTTAGTTTATTCTTTACGACTCGCCAACCAAATGGGAATTTCTATATGTCATTAATGTTGTGCTTGCTCATACCATGAACGATCTTAAACTTTCAAAAATTGTGCGATTGACAATTTTACTATTTGACCACATCATTCATTTTGAACGCATACCATCTCAAGAACTTAAACGGCCATATCGAATAAAAGATGGCTACTTTGACGATTTGCGTTGCACCACATTTTCCCTCGACTTTTAATGCAAATAGCCTCTCTCTCTTTTCCCAAACTCGTGAATTATGAGATTAATATTTAGTCCATATTTGACGCTGGTTAAAATTTTCAAATAACAGTCAACAATTAATTTTAATCATGCGATTCATTGAACTCGTAATTTATCGATCATACGTTTTATCAGTTTTTATCAAATTTACTAAATATATGATTTTAATCAAACGGACGTAATTAAATTTGGCACACTAATCTCTAGTTGTGCCAAAGTGCAGTGATCCATGATTTCTTGAACTGTAGTGGTCCACTTGATTGCACCATATAGTGCGTCAAAATCTTACCTACCACTCCAACCGAATAAAATGGGAAAAAAAGAAAATTATTGAGTAAAATTAGGTCATGATTTGCACTTAATGACGACGAAGCTTGCAAATGTAAACATATTATGTTAATAATATTATGGAATAAGTTTCACATTGAATTACTATAAATAAATAATTAATATATAATAACTTGAATTACTTCACTTAATTAAATTACATTTTAAAATGAAACTCAAATGTTAATATGGTGTCGACCACTCCAAATCTTTCTTTTTTCTTTTTATGATTTTATATGTAGAAGTCGACTATGCTACTAGGAGATTTTGTAACTTTTATTAATGTGTATAAATTATTATTTAATTTAATATTATTATATTACTCAATTTATGTTTTTGAAGGTAATTTGACGAGATAATAGCTACTCCGAAAATTACTCTCCACAATTATGAACTACATCCATCGTATACGTATTTTTTTTCCTAATCAAGATGACATAGCATAAATTGATGGTTGTCCCACAATTAAATAATACGACAACCAAGGAAAAAATCTATTTGACATAAGAAGATAAATTGGATAGGACTGAGAATGAGACTGAGACGAGACATTAATTATTTGTTTAAGAATGATTAAATTGAAATTTATATTACGAATCTGAAAGAATGTGTCGATAAAAATAAGTAATGAATTGTGGGTCCAAAAATTGATCAAATATTTAAATTACAATTTAATTTTTTGCCAAACATGCATGTCCATAGAAAAAAATTAAAAATTGTCTCTCTAAAGTTTAGGTGTATTTGGATTTCATTATAATCTCCTTATATTTCTTATAAAGAGATTATGGAAAAAGAGTAAAAGTTTACCCCAAATATAAGTGGATAGTAATGGCGAATATAATTAAAGTTAAAATTTTAATTTTAATTAAAAATTATAAGTAATTTATTATATTTTCAAAGATAGTAGTAGTTGCCAATAACACCAACTCAAATTACAAGTTGAGTGCGACTCACCAAACCCGCGTACCTACCCCGCTCATCTCGTCCATTCCACCCGAAGCCCCGTTTTTTAAATTGGAGACCATCAAATCCTTCAACAGCAGCTGTGAGGACCCCACCTGCCTTCATCATCCACCTACCTGTGACATCCTCCTTCTATAAAAGAATCATCATCCACTGCGTTGTTCGAACGCCAAACACCATTTTCTCCGCCTTGAGCCACCACACAACCACCATTTCTTGATAGCTTACTTCCAATTATGGATCTTCTTCTTCTAGAGAAGACCCTTCTGGGACTTTTCTTCGCCATTATAGTTGCCACTGTAGTCTCTAAACTACGTGGCAAACGCTTCAAGCTCCCTCCGGGCCCAATTCCAGTTCCGGTTTTCGGCAATTGGCTCCAAGTCGGCGATGATTTGAACCACCGAAATCTAACCGAATATGCCAAGAAATTCGGTGACATATTCTTGCTCAGAATGGGCCAACGTAATCTCGTCGTGGTTTCATCGCCAGACCTTGCAAAGGACGTTCTGCACACCCAGGGAGTTGAGTTCGGTTCACGCACAAGGAACGTCGTTTTCGACATTTTCACCGGTAAAGGCCAAGACATGGTGTTCACCGTCTACGGCGAGCACTGGCGCAAGATGCGGCGGATCATGACGGTGCCCTTTTTCACCAACAAGGTTGTGCAGCAGTACCGACAAGGGTGGGAGGCTGAAGTGGCATTGGTGTTCACCGTCTACGGCGAGCACTGGCGCATGATGCGGCGGATCATGACATGGGTGGGAGGCTTACGTGGCGGCCGTGATTGAGGATGTGAAGAAGAACCCTGAATCCGCCACTAACGGGATTGTTTTGAGGAGGAGATTGCAATTGATGATGTACAACAACATGTACAGAATCATGTTTGATACAAGGTTTGAGAGTGAAGAGGATCCTCTATTTGTAAAGCTCAAAGCATTGAATGGTGAAAGGAGTAGATTGGCTCAAAGCTTTGAGTATAATTACGGAGATTTCATTCCCATTTTGAGGCCTTTCTTACGAGGATACCTCAAGATCTGCAAGGAGGTTAAGGACAGAAGATTACAACTCTTCAAGGACTATTTCGTTGATGAAAGAAAGTAAGTTTTTTCCCCTTGAACCAGGGGGTGGCTCGGCCCTTAAACACCCGAGCTCGGCTCATATGGACACAAACAATGCTCGACTTGACCCTGTTTTGGCACGAGACGAGCCGACTCGTTTTTTTTATAAAATTCATAAAATAAGTCAAAAAACGAGTCTTGAGCTAGCAAAACACTGCTCCTCAATTTTAACGGGTTGTTTTCATGTGACAGGAAGCTTGCAAGTACAAAGCCAATGGACAACAACGGTCTCAAATGTGCCATTGATCACATTCTTGAAGCTCAGCAAAAGGGAGAGATCAACGAGGATAATGTCCTCTACATTGTCGAGAACATCAATGTTGCTGGTACGTTTTTAATTTATTGGATTTTCTTTCTTTTTTACTCTATGGCCTTGGTCCTATTCCTATTGCAACCCTTTCCAAAATGAATTAAGCTACGTTTACAGGGAAATGGTTCACAGGGCATACAGGGCACTCACAAAAAGGCGGGCCCCACGTGTTTTAAAAAAAAAAAAATTTAATGCTGGCCCTACCTTGTATCTTACTTGGCAGGGACCTGTGAAGCAGGTCCCTGTACAGCAAGCATTGTTCTTCCAAAATGTTAGTAGAGTCATTTGCTATTAAATTTTGACCTAATATGGTGGTTGGAGAATATGGGACCGTGTAGTTAAATCGGGTGGTTGGAGTATATGAAATGAGGTTGATATAGCTGCAATAGTGGTCATATGTTCAATTTTTTTTAATTAAATAGTCGTAGTCCTTGTTTGATCGTCATTTTTTAAGATTTATTTTCAACCACACATTAACGGGGTTTCATAACTTCCATCCACTTTTAAATCATAAATTTCATTAACTTCTATCAAAGTTTACTAAAAAAAATTAATTTTTATTAAAACCAAACATGGGTATAATATTATATTATGTGATGATAACTTAAATAATATGTTTGGTACGATGATGAAATGGACAATAATTCTGAATGAAAAAGAAGTTAGATTCTTGATTTTTATCTTATTTTTTCAGCAACCATCTAATTATTTACTTGTGTTTATTCATGGCAGCAATCGAAACAACATTATGGTCCATTGAATGGGGTATTTCAGAATTAGTGAATCACCCAGAGATCCAGAAGAAACTCCGTGAAGAGATCGACACCATGCTCGGACCAGGAGTGCAAGTCACAGAACCCGATACCCACAAACTCCCCTACCTTCAAGCGGTGATCAAAGAAACACTCCGTCTCCGTATGGCAATTCCTCTTCTCGTGCCCCACATGAACCTCCACGACGCCAAACTTGGGGGATATGATATTCCTGCCGAAAGCAAAATCTTGGTCAATGCTTGGTGGCTAGCAAACAATCCGGTTCAGTGGAAGAAACCCGAAGAGTTCAGGCCTGAAAGATTCTTGGAAGAGGAATCCAAAGTCGAGGCCAATGGGAATGACTTCCGTTATCTCCCATTTGGTGTCGGTAGGAGAAGCTGCCCTGGAATCATACTTGCATTGCCAATTCTTGGCATTACTTTGGGACGTTTGGTGCAGAATTTTGAGCTGTTGCCTCCCCCCGGGCAGTCAAAGATAGACACTAGCGAGAAGGGAGGGCAGTTCAGTTTGCACATTTTGAAGCACTCTACCATTGTGTTAAAGCCTAGATCCTTTTAAAATTGTTTGCTGAAAAGTTTCATAAATTTGAATGCATTCAGTGTTTTGTATTACATGTTGGCCTTGACTATATATGATAACTTAGTGCTTACATCAGCACATGGTTAACGCCTGTTTGGATAGATTTTAGATTTTTTTTTTAGTAAGCCATCTATAAATGATCAAATTTATTTTATAATGGTTGTAAATTGTAAGTTTATTGGTGAATAATGATTGTATCCCTACAACCCTAGAAATTATTATCATTATATCTATAATCCTGCCATATAAATATAGAGATTTGGTTTTCTTTATAGTATATATAAGTCTATTGACTTTTATCATCTTTTCTTTTTTTCTCTCTTTTCACAACACGTTATCAGCTCGACAACTTAATTTTTTAAAGTTTAGTGAATGTAGCAATTTTTTTTTTAAGAATAATCATCTACCACATGTACTAAAATTACTTTGACAACATGTGATTATTTTAATGTACGCATGAGGTCATGTTGACCGTTCGTGTCCTTCCATAAATGTGAAATTTTTTTATAAGCATTAAATGCATGGTTTTCCATCTTCAACCGTCAATTGTGTGTAATTGAAGGATTGTGCTATGGGTACATAGTTATACCAATAGGGGTGTCCATTATGTACATGTACCCATAGCATTTTCCGTAATTTAATGCATGAGTTTTCAATCTTCAACCATCAATTTGTGTGCAATTTAATACTTCATTAGTCCCAATTATATAGGCTTGTTTCATTTTTTACACGAATTAAGAATGTTTTTTTAATGTCATTGAAAAATTAATTTTTGTCAATATCTTCCCTAGTTAAGAAATGTTATTCATCCCCATTGGGGATGCATCCCCAGTCTATGTGGCATTAAATGATATGTGAAATTAAATAAGTTATTTAATTTCACCTATCATTTAACCAATCATTTACATCCACATAGATTGGAGATTCATCCCCACTGGAGATGAATAGCATTTTTCTTCCTAGTTTATCCCCATTTAATTTTCAGTATGTAAAACTAAATTATTGTTGAAACTAATAAAGAATTCGAAGAAGAAATGAAAATTGTTTCATGTTTTCAAGAAGCGAAAAATGTGTGCATTTGGATAATTTCAAAAGGTTGACATATTAAGTGAGGAAAATTTAATAAGAGTATATTGGTAAAATGACCCAATAAAATATTCTACATTAGGAAACATGCCTATATATTTGGGACAAAAATAAAAAGAAATATAGTCTATATAATTGGATCGGTGAGAGTACATGATTTTTTCCATACGTATCGTCAACCACCTCGGTAATTGTACCTATTTGTGAATTGAGCTTCTGTAATTTTTCTTTTTTTAATCATGCCAATAATGACTCCTGCATCGCACTCGGTTCACGTGAATGTTTGGAACTTTCTCTTAATTTCGCCTTTAATTATGTATGGTTTATGTCCCTGTTTGACAGCCGTTTTGTTTGAAAAATAATTTTTAAAATTGTGATTGATAGAAGATTGTGTGGTTAAAAAGTGAAAAGAATTTTGGGTTATGTGTAATATTATTTTATTAATAGAATGTATGGTTGAAATGAAGAATGAGAAATAGAATAAGAAAAAAATAGGTGTCAAACAGAGACTATATTTGTAATTTTTTTCCTAATTCTACCTTCGTCTTGTATATGAAGATTTTTTTCCCTTATGCATATTTGGTAATTAAATTTTATATATGAATTTATATCGTGTCTGTACAGTAATTAATATTTTTTAACTTGATTAAATGTTTTTACATATTCTTCCATAACTTTTAAATTGATAATGTATCATATTGTTGCTCTTGAAGAGGCACAACTCTTTTTAAATAATTAATATTCTACTATAAAACATACTCTTGAATATTTACTGTTTATAAATAATAGTTTGTTAGTGCTCCTATAATAGCATAGCATTGTTACTATTTTGAAAGAATATTAATTGCTCTAGAAAAGCATGAATTAATTTTTCATGTTTCAAAAGAATATTGATATATTGCTCTATAAGAAGCAATAACAAAATACAATATGCTTTCGAAGTAACACATGTTTCGAAAAATATATCATGTGTAGTTTATGAATTTGCGTTTATCCCTAAAGGAAAATATATAATTTATGTCATGTTGACATTGATTACTTGATTAATTATTTTGTGATGTTTAGTCACATTTTTTGAGATTAATTATATTTATTTTATTGTAAAGTTATTCAAATGATAAATACCACAAATTTTGAAATGAATTGTTGAGATACATGTTTAATTACTACCGCAAATATGTACACTATTTTTCAGGACAAAAGTCTTTCCTGACTTAACATTAGCAGAAAATTATTTTTATACGATGTCAATTGTATCGAATATTGTTGAAGATCCTGGAAGAGCTCGTATTATTTTATCAAATAATACAAAATTATATATTGACGATACACTTTATTCTAACAAATCTAAAATGAATTTGCTTAATTTTAAAGATATTTGATGCGATGGATATCACTTCGAGACGATGCAAGAAAATAATATTGAACATTTTTGCATAATTTCTTTTGTATTTGGCTAGAAGTAAATAAAAAAATTCCTGCATTCCCATTGGCATGTATCATACATTTATAAAAATGGTCAAATCAAATATTATCATGAACCAAAAATTTGTTGAACCAAAAAAGGCATGATCGACTTGCAGATATAGAAGTTATAATGATGCATCGAATAATAAACAACTCACATAAATATCATTTAAAGAACCAAAATATTCTTTTACATAATGATTATTCACGTGTACCTTGTTTTCAATGCAAGTTAGTCATCAGACTTTCAGCTACAAATGTCATTGTTGAATCTCCAATTTTCTTGGAAAGAATTCATGGAGATATATATGGGCCGATACACCCATCATGGGGATCATTTCGTTATTTTATGGTATTAATTGATTCTTCTATTAGATGGTCATACGTTTGCCTACTTTTCGCTAGAAATGTAACTTTTGGTAGACAACTTGCTCAAATCATAAAATTACAAATGCAATTCCCCGATTACTCAATCAAAGTCTATTCGTCTCGACAATGCTTGTGAACTTAGATCACAAACATTCGATGGTTACTGGAGTAATTTATTAAACATCTACAATTTACTGCTAGATCATTTACTTATGAAAACAAAACTCTTAACTTCTGTTTGGGGTCATGTCATATTACATGTTGTATCATTAGTTCGTATCAGATCAATTGCATATTATCAATATTCACATTTACAACTGGCATTTGTTCATGAACATAATGTTTCTCACTTGCGGATTTTTGATTGTGCTGTTCAAGTCCCTATTTCACCCCTACAACGTACTAAAATGGATCCCCAATGAAAATATGGGATTTATGTAGGTTTAGATTCACCATCTATTATTTTGAACCCTTAACGAGTGATTTATTTACTGTACGTTTTACATATTGTCCTTTTGAGGAAATGACTTTACCAACTTTAAGAGAAGAAAAACTATATCCTGATAAACAAGCAAATCTTTTTTGGAATGAAATAACTCTATCTCGCTTTGATCCCCCACATCAATCAATGTGAGCAAGAAGTTGAAAAAAATCATTTATTTGTAAAAAGTTATAAATCAATTACCAAATGTATTTGTTGACATAATAAATGTAACGAAGTCATATATACCAGTTGAAAGTATTTCAATAAAAATTAACGTCAATGCAGGACAATTTGCTATAACAAATGAATCTCAAAAATATCATAAGCGTGGTCGACCAATTGGTTCAAAAGACTCTGTACCTCAAAAGAAGTACAAGAGAAAACATAACCAGAAACTTCAAAATAAGTAATATTAGAAAAAAAAAAATGATCAATCGAATATTGAAAATATGGTTCCTGAATAACCACAAATGTCTGAAAATAATATGATTTCAATAATTTATGTGTTATCTCATAAATTATGGGAACGAAATAATATTGTTGTAGACAATATTTTCGCCATTAACGTGATTTTTGATATTATGTAAAATGAGAATCCTGAATCACATTCTCTTAAAAACCGTCAACATAAAAATGATTCGTTAAAGTGGAAAGAAGACATACAGACAGAATTGAAATTCTTAGAGAAATGGAAAGTAGTTGGACATCTAGTTCGAAACACCTGAAAATGTAATCCATGTTGAATACAAATTAATTTTGGTACAAAAAAGAAATAAAAATAATGAAATTATAAGATATAATGTCCGACTTGTGGCTCAATGTTTCTCACAAAGACCAAAAATTGATTATAAGGAAACATATTTTCTCGTAATGGACACCATCACTTTTAAATTTTTAAATAGTTTGATTGTGTCACAAATGTTCGATATGCGCCTTATGGAGATAGTGACTGCATATTTGTATGATTCACTTGATAATAACACACACACACATGATACATGCCCGAGAATCATATTCTCAATTAAATTGCAACGATCATTAAAAGAATTGACACAATCCCAATGCATGTAGTATAATTGCCTTAGTAATATTTGTTGAAGGAAGATTATAAAAATGACGATATCTGCCTATATATTTTCATAAAGAAAACAAATATTAGATTTGCAATTATGGCAGTTTATATTGATAATTTAAATTGAATTGAAACTCCCGAAGAGTTCAACAAAACTATAAATTAATTGAAAAATGAAGGAAAGATTTGGGAAAATCAAATATTGTTTCTGGTTGTTGATTGAACATTTCTCAAAACAATCATTTATTTATCAATCTACATATATAGAAAAAGTCCTAAAACACGTTTATATGAATAATGCACATTCATTGGCATCACATCGGTTGTTCGATCACTTGATGTGAAAAAAATAATCATTTTCGTCTACTTGAAGATGGAGAAAAGATTCTTGATCATGAAGTATCATATTTTAGTGTAATTGGAGCTTAACTTATCTTACAAACTGTACTTGACCTGATATAGGTTTTTTTGTAAATCATCTTAGAAGATATAACTCTACAC